AGTAACTTGCCTAAGGTTATACAGCTAAGAAGTGTACGAGCTGTCGTAAACCGGGTTTGACCCCTGAATATGTGCTCGTAACTATTGAAAACCCGATGTACTCAGTGGGGTGATAGTGTACAATAGTTAAGAGGTTGTTTAGGTTTGAGGAACAGCATGTGCTAAGGCACGGGGATGAGTGCATTTGCACAGTCATGGAATTGCAGTAAGGTCATTACGATTGGAGCTTAGTGTAGAAATGAGGGAGTACAGGAGGTGGGACTGGAAAGAATCTTGAAGGACCTCATTTGTATTCCATGCTAAGGTACTTAGAATTTAGCCTGAAAAGGGTTGAGGGTGTTGTTAAAGTATCTTTCTTAGGCAAAGGAGTGCACATTTGCATTTAGAACAGTTATTTTGGGAACTGTAGAAAATACATCAGGGCCAGGATGGAGAAATCTTGAGGATGGAGGCAGGGAGTGAGTTAGGAGAGTATGGCAATAGTTCATGGAGAGGATGAGTGTCTCATTCATTCATTCAACAGACATCGGATTTAGGAACTTAATTAGGTTGACCTGTCAGGAATTCTCCATGGCTAAGGAGAGGGGGGAATCTAACTTGATTCTTAGGTCCACTGATAGAAGATAGAAAATACTTCAGCAAAGTGATTTAGGCTGAGGGTAAGAAGGGGAGGTCATGTAAGTTTCTGGACACACTGACTTTGAAGTAAGTGTATTACATCCAAGTGGAAGTGCACAGCAGACAGTTGGCTGTCCAGCCTGTGCAGTTTAGAAGGAAGGCAGTGCATGATTAAGTTGTTGAAAAAAGTTTGCAGGTGAAGAAAACCATGAGAGTCAAGGAAAATACTAGGGGGCAGAGGGTGCTGAATATGAAGCCCTTAGGAACACTAACAGTTAGTATGAGTCAAGGAATAGACTTCAACAAAGAAAGCAAACTAGCATGGGTATACCAAGCAGGAGGAAGTTCATAATTAGGAGATATCATGAAGGCCAAGAGAGAGAAGAGCAAGGAAGAAACTGCCCACTGGCTCAAGAACTGTGGAAGTCAAGACAGAAAATGAACCATGCATATTTGATTTTTCACAGGGATTTTTCACAAAGGAGTGACTTTGGCAAGAGCTGTAGTAGTAAAGAAGTAAGGGTGAAGAGGTGGAGGCCAGGTAACAGATTTAAGAAGTTAATTGGAAGTGAGGAAATACATATAGATTGTTAATTTTAGATGCTAAGGAAGAGAGAAACAAGTATGAGAAATTTTTTTTTTAAGTTGGTGAATATTCAAGCAATTTTTAAAGACAAAAATAAAAAAAAAAAAACGACACCTTGTAAATGGAATGAGGCATGTGGGAAGCTGATAATCAACTAGAGAAAGTCCTTGAGGAGATTGATGGGTATGGAGGCAGAAATTGAAGCTAGCTTTTAAGTGGTGAGATTCTGAAAAGGAGGCAAAAAAAAAAAAAAAAAGGTGTGGATAGTTGGGGTTGCAGGTAAGTTGTAGGGAAGGAGTATGGGAAGCTTCAGGATCCTCCTCTGAAGAATTCGGTTTGTTATTAAGAAATAGGGAGAGAGGTCTGTTGGAGAGCGTGGGATAAAGGGCAAAAGGGAATGATATGAGAGTTGTTATAAAGGAGAGAACATTTATAAGAAACCTGATAAAGATTGAAGGCCCGGAGAAGCAGGGACTATGGCATTCTTCTGTTTTTCCCTAGTCGCAACACAAATTTTGTTGGAAATCTGTAAGACTGATTACTCTTCTGCCCATCCATAAGGACGTTATCCATACAGAAAAGATAACGCTGGTAACTTTGTATTATATACAGTACTTAATCATCACCTACATGAGAATTTTAAGCTCATAGAAGATAATTCCTATATTTTTTCATTGCTATATCCCCACATCCTATCGTAATATTTCATATCAAGTAATTCTCAACAAATGTTTGTTGCATTTTTAAAATTTCTAACCTGAACTTGTGTGATGTGAGCACTATGGATTGAGTCTTCTCTGCCATGACATAGCTGTTTTCTAGATTGTGATCTGAGATGGTGTGGGCTGATGGTCTATATTCACCAATACTTGCACAGTTCCAATGAAGGTTTCAAGTCCATTACTTTTGGCATTTGGTATAAAATCACTTTCTCATTTTATTTGCTAATTTATCTGTAACTCTGGCGTTACTCTGGGTTGCATTTATCTACTGCTGTCTGATTTAGACTGCTATAAGCATATCTTGTTTATTCAGAGTTTTCTTATTTATGTTAATTATCTATGTTTCTTTATTTGCTCTCTACATTTTAAAGCGTTTCTTCACTTTGCTGTTTTATGAGAAGGCAGTAGGCAAAAGAAAAAAAAAACCCAAATCAGACCATTTTACTACTTAATAGTTTTTTAATGCATCTTTATAGAGATTGAAGTTATAGTTAATAGCTGGAGTGATATTTTTGTCCTGCCCTTATTTATTAATTACTAGTGCAAAAGTTATTCAAATTGTGGTTTATCCAGGTCAATTTTACTTTTATTTTTACTAATGGCATTTATTCTACTTAAATTGCTTCAGCTATAAAATGTTTTTATTATAACACATAATACAGTACAATCATTGCTTTCTGTATGTCTTTGAAAATTTATTATCTAAACATACATTATGAAATTGTGGAGTGTTTACCAGCTACTTCTTACTTAATTAAAGCCTTCTTTAAGAGTTTCATGGGATGACTGAGTTCTTCATTCGTACCTCTTTTTTTTTTTTAAGAATTATTTTTAAAAGTCAAACCATGATTCATACAAGTATAAAATGAACATGCGTCAAAGATTTTATTTCACTCATTAATTAACAAGCAAACCATCAAGAAGGCAAAACCCTTTTAAAAGAAAATTGGAAAAACAGACACATTTATAGGCAATCAAGAATGCCTAAATGAATTTGCTAATAAATGCAGAATTGGTCAGTGTCCTCAGGGCAGTAAAATGTAGTCTTTTGGAATCTTCTCTTCCACCAGGTAGAAATCAATTGCAGAAACAAGATTTATTTTTATCTCTATGGACACCAATCCACTTGAATTACCATCAGTTTTCTACAACTTATGAAACTCTAAGATAGCCCTGTCAAAGTCGGTGAAAGGCACAGACTTCTATAGAGTCAGATAATTCCAAAAGGTTTGTTAGACATTACCCAGCACTCCATTAAAAGGATACCCAGTAATCTTTGTATCCCTTTCAGAATATTTCACCATATTTTCTGATACTTTCCTTTCCTTATAATTTGAACATCTTCACCCCTTTATTCTTCTCTTGTATACTATGTGTTCTCTCCCTCAGTGTTTCTCCATCAGGGGAAATAATTCACAATTCCAAAGTTTTAAAGAATGCTGTAGAACTCCAGGTTTTGCCTTGGGCTTCCTAATATTTAGGTGGCTACAAATGTAGACAACTGGGAAGAGGTGAGATGTGGGTGCCTGCATTGTAGGTTCAAACTGCAGATTCCCAGAAATACAACAATTTGGACTAGTCAAGGACGGTCCATATCATTACATTTAAATGCCAGAGTGTCTAGTTTTTATAGCATCACCCTACATTTTTCCAGCACAACATTGTTTAGACAGCACTTGCCACTGTATTCTACGCGTTGATGCTCACCACAGTTCTGTGAAGTAACCCGGTGTTTGTTTTTGATCCTCCTATTTGCAGAGAGTAAACCAAGGCATAGAAAACTGAGTTGCTTAAGGCCACATATTTAAAAGGAGCAGAAATAGAACGTTTACTCAGGCGATCTGAACATTGTCCAGTACGCATTCCACTATGCATCGTTGCATTCAATTCATGGGGTATTTATTGAATAAACAGTGTTCTTAACAATAGAAACATTCTGTGCCTCTGATTTTTATTCCGGTTTATGTAGAAGGAAATTTTAAGCCTGAACTATTAACAAAGTTGGTATTTTATATTTGTTAGTAATTCGCTTTTTGTTTTTGTTTATGTTTTGAGGGGAAGGCCAAGCAGCTACTTAGATAGAAGAGTTGCTAAGTGGCTGAAGAATATGGAAGACAACTACAGTTCCTATACATTCTTGTACATTCTATTTAAACAATGAGTGATTACATTTTTACCCTCTTCTGTAAGGCAAGCGACTGGTAGTTTATCCTATTGAGAAGTGTTGATAGGATACTTATTAGCAGTAACTTCTCTTGGTTTCAACTTGTATCTTACTTAGCTTTTTCAGTTTTGTGGTTTCTTGGAGGAAGAATACCTGTACTATATATACATTTGGAGATTGCTCTGTAGTGTCAATGAAATGTGGTGGTGCAAAAATGTCATTCAACTCTCCCATATGTAATGTCTATTGCTGCCTATATTTTGCAATCGAAAAGTAGCCACAGATAATGTTTTTTGTTTTGTTTTTTTTTTTTTTTCTCGTTAGTATTCTAAGATTTTCCATCCTAGTGGAAAGATGTGATTTGATTCATCCGATTTACTTTGTGTATTAAAGTACAGAAGAACCTGCCACTTTTTTTGGAAATGCAGTATAAGGATAAAGATAAATTTCATATCAGTTCAGCAAGTTCTGTTTAGCAATATATTGAAGTTGAGACTGAATATAATATTTGGCTTGATTTTCTGTTCAAAATTTTACCCTGATAAGGACAATATTTTTCTACACATATCAGTAGGCAGTAATGATTACTTCAGAGGTTCCAAAGCCAGATACTACAGCTGCACGTTCCAACACAGTTGCTGAATTTATTCCCAAGATGCATGGTCATATATACTTTGTATTATTGAGAATGAATAGAGAAAAGTCATAATGATGCCTTCCAGCTGTGCAAGTTAATATTAAAATATAATTTGTTTCCATTTTTCACCTAATAGGTCTTTTTCATTGCTACCCTGTTTACTTAAGTGAACAGTGGAAATGTTGCTTTTTATCTTAAGGATTTCTAACATACCTAAGATCTTTCAGTACAGACTTCTATAATTAATGAAATGTTTTTCTTTTTCCTTTCCAGGTTCAGCTCAGCTACTATTTAATAAAACAAAATCTGTAGAATTCACGTTTTGCAATGATACTGTCGTCATTCCTTGCTTTGTTACTAATATGGAGGCGCAAAACACTACTGAAATATACGTGAAGTGGAAATTTAAAGGAAAAGATATTTACACCTTTGATGGAGCTCTAAACAGGTTCACTCTCCCCTCTGACATTAAAACTGCAAAAATTGAAGTCTCGCAATTACTAAAAGGAGATGCCTCTTTGAAGCTGGAAAAGAGTGATGCTCTCTCACATACGGGAAACTACACTTGCGAAGTAACAGAATTAACCAGAGAAGGTGAAACAATCATCGAGCTAAAATATCGTGTTGGTAAGACTTCTATAAAAGCTCCTCTTTCGTTTGTCCTGCTACAACTTGATCTTCTTTCGAGAGTAGGCCAAATGGGATTAGGTACACCTTTGAATCAAAAAGCAGGCTATTAATAATGAATGTTGGTATAATGTTTAGCAGGTTTAAGATTGTGATTTCTATCCTGTTTGTTAGTCTACTCTTCTCAGTAAAGCACATTTGCTATTTAATTTGTATTACTTGTTAATTTGTATATTGTAGGGTTCTCAAACTTTCGGCTGAGGACCATCCTATTTGGGTGATTGGTCCTGAGGTAATGTACTGTTCATTTCTGTTAGCTGCCATCCAAGTACTTTTTTTCCTATGACTAATTTTCAAGTCTCTTTCCAATTATTTAGCCTTCTTTTTTTAACCTTACACTTTGACCAGGGGTTGGCAAGTCCCAGCCATGCTCCCTTTGGAGAGAATAGAGGCGAATCAGGAGATTAAATCACATTATCCTGGATGATTTCTTGAGGTTTTCTGTGCTTAGCGTTACTTTGTTGTTCTTTTCCTTGGCCAAGATGTGGGAGAGCTAGGGATTCAAATTAATTTATTCAAGTTCAGGCTTGATTATAGCACCATTATTCTGCCCTTTTTGTCACAAACTTGGGTTGGCGAGGTGTACAAGGTAGTAAAATTAGCTGAAGTAAACAATCTCCTCTCTTTGCTATTTCCTGATGTGCTAGCTGAGTTCTTCAACCCCATATGAGTATGTTCTGACTTGCTGTTTTGAAATCTCTGTTTAGAATTACCTGTCATATTACCGATCATGGGTTAACCACATTTTGAGAATGTTAACTCTAGATAGGTTCAGAACTGTTCAGTTGGATCAACTCTTTGCCTAGCTTTTATGAGATATCTGCTACCAGATTAGGAATGGGGTGTTGGGTTTGATGAAATGTTTGGACATCACTTGGGATTGAGAATCAGGAGGTTTGAGTTATAGCCCCTGTTCAGCAACTTACTATTCACTAGTGTGATCTTGAGAAGGTACTTAATTGAGTCCAAGTTACCTCATGTCTGGAATGGAGATGACAATGGATACTTGCTTTTATGTATTCTACAGTCTAATGAGCATCAAATGAGATCCCACGTGGACATGTTTTTTTTGTAAACCAAAGTGTGTTGTAAATGTTAGTTGTTTTCCTGGGATGTTTATTTTATGAAGTAAGGTATCAAGTTGTTGAAGCTAGCCTGAAGAACTGTGAGAAGGATTTGTGTGCGGTGAGGAATGGGCAGGGGATGGTTCTGATAAGGCAAGGAGAATTTGGAAGGTTTTTCAGCTCAGAGATTTCTCTTACATTGTAGCTTTTACTATTGCTGTTAATTTGGGCAAAGGAGCTTTTTCTTTTTTCTTTTTTTTTTTTTTTGTTAAGTATACTTTTCAGGAAGGGTGTAATCAATGAGTCATATACACTGCAAATAACCAGAGTTAGATCATCTAATACCTCATTGAAATTTTTCTGAGGGAATGTGCAGTTTCGTGGAAATTGAAAGAATACGACGTGAGGGAACAGGAACGTTGCGGGGTAATGTAGGTCACTGAGAGGTAAACTGGAAAACTCAAGATACGAGATTTGAAAGGCCAGAAGATGAGCTGAAGGTGGAAGGGAAAGGAATGCCAGGATCTGAGATAAAAATAGTTTATAATTTTGCATGTGATTGAAATATTGTTTTATCTTTCTTTGTTTTCCAAATACCATATAAAAATAAGAACTAGACTTATTTTGGAGGCCATTAAAAGGAGAAAGTGTTTTATCATGGAGAATGTAGAAAATTCTACCAGAGGTTTGAGACATTTGGCTTTGCATCCATTTTAATTTTTTGAAATAATCATTGATTCATAGGAAGATATAAAGATGGAGAGGTACCGTGTGCCCTTCACCCAGTCCCCATATGGTTCCTCTTTTGTAACTATAACATAGTGTGAAAATCAGGAAGTTCACAATGGTGTGGTGTGTGTGAATGGTTCTCTCATTTTATCACGTGTATATTTGTGTAACTACCACCACAATCAGAACATAAACCTATCCACCATCACAGACATCTCCCTCGTGCTCATTCTTACTAGTCATATTGCCACTTCCCACTGTCCCTGACCTGGCAAGCACCAATTGGTCCTCCATATCTATAGTTTTGTCATTTCAACAGTGTTAAATAAATGGAATCATACTGGATGTGACGTTTTGAGAATGGCTTTTTCACTCAGCACAATGCCCTTGAGATATATCCAAGTTGTTGCATGTATCAATAGTTCCTTTTTTTCTTTCTTTTTTTTTTCTGAGTAATAGTTCACAGTATGAGTATATCACAGTTTGTTCAACCATTTCCCTATTGGAGGACATTATGGTTGTTTCCAAGTTTGGGCTGTTACAAATGAAGCTGCTGTGAACAGTTGTGCACAGGTTCTTGTGTAGACACAGTTTTCATTTCTCTGGGATAAATGCTTAGAAATATGGTTACTGGGCTGTATGGTAAGTATAAGCTTAGTTTTTAAAGAAACTGCCAGACTTTTCCAGAGTGGCTATTTCGTTTTACATTTCCATCAACAGTGTAAGAGTGATCTAGTTTCTCCACACCCACACCAGTATCTGGTGCCGATATGTTGTACCCATTTTTAACTGAAAAAAAACAAAAACTTACCTGCACAAAAAGGTTAAATGGGGCAGGACTCTTACTATGGAATATAAGTTTTTTCTAGTAAGAATACTTACCTGTCATGGATTTTTAAGATTTAGGCGTTAGAAACCATTTTTGCCATGTGGTAATTTTTTCAAATACAGGCATAAATGAGAAAAAGAATTTTCTCAATAGAAAATTGAATTCTACTTAATGGAATGCAGATAATGGTGACCATTCTTTGTGCCTTTTTTTTTTTTTTTTTTTTTTTTTTTTTGGAGGACTAGGTTTGAATCCATGGAAATGCTGTAAGATGTAGTTTTATGTACCTCTGTGCCTATGTATAATATAGTCCAATGTAAGGAGCATTGGACTTGAATTTAGAAAGCTGTTTTCTAGACTTCACTGTTTAATAATAGCTTAAGAAAACTTGGATAAGAAACTCAAACTGTCTGGCCCTCGGATTTTTCTTAGTACAATGGGGATGCCATCACTATCATGGAAATGTTTGAGCTAATAATCTCTCTCTCACTTCACAAAATTTTACGAAATGCCTACCATGTGTCAGGCACTGTGCTAGGCATCACAGGCTCTGTGAAGAATAAGACGTTATCACTGATTTCAAGGAAGTGGTTGCAGTACAAATAAGAAGAGTAAAGTGACCTAACATTTATTTGCACGTGTGCTACGTACTTCATGTAAGTTGTATCCTGTTATCCTCTCAGGAACTCTAGGAGATAAATGGAAGTCTTACCGTTTAACAAATAAAGAACCAAAAGAGATTGAAGGTATCGTTCAAGGTCAGAGGGAGAGCCAGGAATTTAGCCTAGATCTCTTTGGCACCAAAACCCAGTATTTTTACCATCATAGTATGTGGTTCATGTGAAAACACCTTGTAAATAACTAACTACTAAATGCAAATAATAGTAATCATAAAATTTGTTATTAATATTTCTATTCTGTTAGCAGTGCAAAAACTTCTAAGCTTAAAGTTTATTTTTCTCTAAGTAAACTATTAGAGTTTTGTTTAGAAAGGTCAGTTCCAGTTCCACAGAGTTGCCAATTCCACTATTATCAACAGCACATACAGTCTGTTCATAATGAGGACATAAAGGCATTGCATGATCTTTGAATTCGTTTTCTAGTGCTGTGTAACTACTACAAATATAGCAGCGTAAAACAATACCCATTTTTTAGCTCACAGTTTTGTAGGTGGCAAGCCTGGGCATGGCATGACTGGGTTCTCTGATCAAGGTTTTAAAAGACTAAAATCAAGGTATTGCCCAGGTCATACTCTCATTTGGAGCTTGAGGTCTTATTCCATGTTCACATAATTACGGCAGAATTCAATTCCTGATGACGATGAGACGGAGGTCCCTGTTTCTTTGTTAAATATCTGCCAGGGAACTCTAGTAGTTCCTAGAGATTGCCTTCATTTCTTACTCCGTGGCCCCTCGCCTATTTAAAGCCAGTAAAGGAGAATCTTCCTTTTGTTAAATCCCTTTCACATGTTGAGTTTATTTGCCAGGAAGAGCCCAGACCCTTTTAAGAGATCATTGATTAGGTCAGCCATCTCTCCCTCAAAAATAATTTCTCTTTCTTAAAGTCAGCTGATTGGGGATCTTAATTACATCAGCAAACTCCCTTCACTGGGTGACATAATGATGGAAATGAAATCCAAGGCATTCACAGTCTCAGTTTTCTACACAAAAGGAAAGGGAATTATGAAAGGTGCATGGCCAGGGCAGAGGTTTGGGGACCACCTTAGAATTCTGGGTTTGATTAAATAAATAATGGGACTGTAGCCTAGCGAGCTGACATACCCAAACAGCCATCACAATCCTGAAACATCAAGTAAAAGTTTGGTTCGCATTTTAGTATTGTAAATGTTACTGGGATGTGTGGGGTGTGTGTGTGTGTGTGTAACCTGGTATTCCCTCTGTCTGTGGAGGTGTGAAGGAGACACTTTGTTTTGGAATGGTGTCTTCACTTTGTTAGGTTGTCTCATTTTTGTAAAGTGGTAAGACAAATGAGGTCCTGGGTTTTAATAACACTTAAGCTTGGAAGCAAAAATTAAACACTCGTTCTTAGCCTACACCCTGGTGATATCACTTCTTTGCCTTTCCACTAGCAAGAAGTTCATTTTCATGGAAGCCACTCTGCCTGTCCAGGACTCAGAGGAGCATGATAGACATAGTTGCCAGCCACAGCTTGGGTAGAATAAGGATGTGAATGTTGTTGGCTTATCTTTATTAAGCCCGAGATGGAAAAATATCTGACATTACTCTTAGTCCATTTAAAGCTTCATTTATGTTCTTAGTGGCTTAGTCCATTTAAAGCTTAATTTATGTTCTTAGAAATTTAGAGCTGAAAGGGATCTTAAAAAAGTATCATGTCTTACTCTCCCCTTGAGGAGCAAGAGTTAACGTCATCTGACAATACTACCATAACAAATCAATAGCTTCATAGGCATATAAGTGGCTTTATATAAAACGTTGTTGTTTTTTTCTCCCAGCATCTCAATTGGTTTTTTTTTTTTTCTCCTGAGATGGAGTTTCATTCTTATTGCCCAGGTTGGAGTGCAATGACGCAGCTCACTGCAACCTCCACGTCCTGGGTTCAAGTGATTCTCCTGCCTCAGCCTCCCAAGTAGCTGGCATTACAGGCGCATGCCACCACGCCCAGCTAATTTTTGTATTTTCAGTAGAGATGGGGTTTCGCCATGTTGGCCAGGCTGGTCTGAAACTCCTGACCTCGTGATCCACCCGCCTTGGCCTCCCAAAGTGCTGGGATTAAACGTGTAAGCCATCGCACCATGCCTCATTTGGTTCTTAAATATGTAATGCAGTGATCCTCAAACTTCTCCCACTGTAACAAATTAGAGAGAGAGGGAACACATTCATCAGTGACTGTAGCTAAACTCCAGCGGAAATGTACAGCAGTGTTTTCAAACTGAGAGACTCATGGATGCCCCTCTCCATTGTGTGCTGCCCACCCACATCACACACACCAGGGAGCAATTTAAAATCCTGGCATGGTAGTGAGAAGGGAAGGTGATAAACTGATAAACTCCAGTTAAGAATCACTTAGGTCGGGCATGGCAGCCCACGCCTATAATCCCAGCAATTTGGGAGGCCAAGGTGGGCAGATCATCTGAGATCAGGAGTTTGAGACCAGCCTGGCCAACATGGTAAAACCCTGTCTCTACCAAAAATACAAAAATTAGCTGGGCATGCCTATAATCCCAGCTATTCAGGAGGCTGAGGCAAGAGAATTGCTTCAATCTAGAAGGCAAAGGTTGCAGTGAGCTGAGACTTTGCCACTGCACTCAAACCTGGGCAACAGAGCAAGACTCCATCTCAAAAAAAAAAAAAAGGAAAGAAAGAAAAGAATCACTTAGACAGTTTTCTTTTTTGTTCTATAATCTTACTCTCTTTCTGTCATTGAAATGTCTCATATTTCCTATTTTCACATAGAATCTGGGAGTCATCAAGTAGTCTTCTATTCGGTCTCATCATCTAATTTACAGATTATTTCTATCATACCCCAAATAGCTGGCCATTCAGATTTTTTTTTACCTAAATCTTGACATGATGGACATTATTACTTGCCAGAGGACCTTGGTCTGTTGTCAGGCAGTTTCAGTTCTTCCTAAAGTCAAACTAAAACTTACTACTATTCTCACTCACTGGGAGGGGGGCTGTAGTATTTCTCTCAAGTTTATTTTCTCTGTGATAAAAATCTCTATTCTTTTAGCCATTGCTCATGGTTTCAGGATCCCCATTCTAGTCATCTTCCTTTGGAGCAATTCCCTGTTAGATCTTTAAATGTGACGAGCGAAACTGAGCTCAGGACTGCGTTCGTTGGTCACACGCTTCTCCCTTCCGAATTGCTGTTGCTGTAACTTTCTGACAGGTCCTGCTTCCCTGTAATCCATTCTCCGTGTGGCTGCCAAAGGAGATCTGAAATAAGTCAGATTCTTTTTCTTCTCTATTGAAAGCTTTCTAACGACTTGTCATTGCGCTTAGAATAAAATTAGAATAAAGTCCAAACTCTCCCAACAAACTGTGAAGACTCTGCGTGGTCTTGCCGCAGCAGAGCTTCCCCTCTGATCTCGTCGCTGAATTCCAGGTCAGTCACAGTGGCCATCGTTTGGTTTCTCAGACTTCCCATTCCTTTGTCATCTCTTCCTCCCCGCCTTCACAGCCTAGACTCCTCATCCGGGCCTTCCTTTTGTTCCTCTCTCTGCCAGCCTTCCCTTACTGCCCCAGGGCATTTGTTCATCAGCCTCTCCCACTCTGCACACTCAGGGTCCCCTGCGTTGTTCACTGCTGGCCCTCAAGAGCCTACAGGAGTTCCTCCCCGTGGTGGGCTTTCAGTAAGTGTTTCTGGAACAAGTGAAAAAGGTATGGTCACACCAGGGGCGAATGTATCCCTTACTATTGTTGATATATTCTAGTTAATATCAATATATTAATATTCTATTAATGTGTCCTAAAAATTTTTTGCGTGTAGGGGCAGAGAACAATGAAAGAACATTTCATTGTCAGTTCATCTTGAATATGAGATCAGATATTGGCTGTATTTTGAAGGTACAGCCAGCAGGATTTGCTGTCCAACTAGAGTGAGATGTGGGAGAAATCAAGGAGTCGGGTGTAACTCCAAAGTTTTCAGTCTCAAGCAACTGGAGAAATGGGGTCACCACTACTGGAAGGAGGAAAACGTAGAGGGGAGGTTTAGTGGGGGGTTGGGAGCGAGGGAAATACTGGGATTCAGTGTGGAACATGTACAGTTAAGATAACTGAAGAGCTTGAATTCACTGTTCCTCAGTTTTTGCAACTATAAGGAGGGTTTAAGAATTTCTCACATGATAATTGTGATGATTTGAGGAGTTGAGGTACACAATTAAAAACAAAACCACAGAGGAAGTAAGGAAAAATTCACTGGGTAAGCATGGCTATTAGACCATACAGGTTTTACCAAATCCATTGGGGATTAGATACAAAAATCTAAGCGTGACCTTCAAAATTTTTTTCCTGGTAGGGTTTAAGGCTGTATTAAAGTAACTTTTCTTTCGTATAAGAAGATACTCAGTTATACAGTTGGAAATTAAGGTATTAATTCAGTGTCTAGAAACATCTCTCAGTAGAGATCTACAACCAAAGAAGCATTAAAAAATTGTCTTCCATTCACTGGCGAAACTGTCTTACAATTGTATTGAGTCCCTGCTACATATAGAACAAAACACTAGATTCTGAAAAGCTAATATCTATAGAGTTTACAATGTTAAATTCTGGGGATTGATGTAAGTATTGTAAGCTTAACACAAGAAATGTGGCTATCGTTATGGCATGAAAGGCTGCAAAGCTCCTCCTGCTCACCTGAGGGGCAGCACGTGGTAGAATTCGAAAGAAGTGTTGATGTCAGAGAAATGCCCGCGCTTGCTTAGTGCCATATTCAGAAATGCTCTTCCAACAGCACAGCCCCTTGTACAGGCAAACTCTGAAATACTTTCAGTTCCTTTACTTGGCTTTATTGTTAGAGCAGAAATTTCACAGCTAAAATTATTGTCTTAGGGGTTTATAAGATGCAATTAAACTTAATTTTTAAAAATCCTCGCAAATCTTATTTGAAGTCGTAATATCTTCATTTCCTTTATATGGGATGTGTGGATATATTTTTATGGTGAAGGTAACATGTGACCCATTTAATAACAGCTTCGTTCATATCCTAAAGCCACTCATGTTACTTTACATATAAACAGTCCTTTGAAGCTTAATTACACATGGATAATTGCAGAGTGAGTTTGAGAAAGGACAGACCAGGCGCATCTCTCTCCATCTTATCCTTACCTAGTGGTGCATCTGCCTCACTTAGGTTTCCTGAGTCTGTCTTTACAGGACTACTTCATTGTTACTTGAAGGTACATTCTTAGCACTTTACGCACACAGCTACTCAACACATGAACACGTAATAATTTTAGTTGACTGAGTGCTTGGTAACTGCTAAGCTTTGTTTTAAGCCCTTTGCATATGCTTTATTAACTCTGTTAATAGTTAGAACCGTTCTTCAAGATACAGGTACTGTTTTATACCAGTGTAACAGTTGAGGACACTAAGAACTGAGAGGTGTGAGGACGTGATCACGGTTCCACAGAGTGTTAAGTTAGAGTTGAGTTCAGACCCTGACAGTGTGGCCACAGAGCCTTGTTCTCAGCTACTGTGTTGCATTACCTTCTCCCGTGAAACATGGGTTAGGAAAAATGTGGGAAATGCGTAAGTAACTATAGTTTTCATTCATAAATAAAATGTATATAAGTACATTCTATGTGTAATTTGTTTTATATATATGTGTGTATATATAAATATATATAAAAATAAGGCCATAGTTTTCATTGTTTTTATTTTCCATCTCCATGATATATTATAGTCCATTAGCAGGATTTAAAGTGTTATAGTACATATTAATTGTGACTTTTGTTTTTTTTCCTCCCCAGTTTCATGGTTTTCTCCAAATGAAAATATTCTCATTGTTATTTTCCCAATTTTTGCTATCCTCCTGTTTTGGGGACAGTTTGGTATTAAAAGTAAGTATTATTTCTACTTTTTGCTTCAGTGATGATAGCGTTATTTCTTGCAGGCATTATCAATGAAATATTTAAAGTTGTACTAGGAAAAGTGCTGGTATGATAAATAGGAGTATGTCATTTGAATGCTAGTAGTCTACTTCAAGTATATGTTGTCACCCACATTTTGCTGCAGTTCACTTTTAATTCCTAAGAAGGTGGGTTTCATTTGGTGTTTTTAAAAAATCTCTTAAGAATGAATGGTGGGAATATTAGTACCAACACCTTAAACTCATGTCACAGTTTATTATTCATGGAACGTCCACACACACATGTTACTTGGTAAACAGATGGTGACAGCCTGCATTCGTTTTAAGATAGGATATTATACTTTGGAGCATTTAGACTCCCCTCTTTTTATTTTCCCAGTTTGAATTTCTCTGTGTGCACGTGTTCTCCCTTGGAAAAGTCCAGTTGGAACCATGTTTTATCCTCCTCTCTGTGCAGTTCTGCAGCCTCTACAGAAGCAGCCACCAGAGACTTGTGTTCTTTGATCTTCCTTTCCTATAATAGTAACATAACCAGACTTCTGAGGGCAGATCTTGACGCTGCACTAGATTTAACATCAACAAAATATAATTGTCATTGGTAGGCAAATAGGTAATATGCATTATGATGAATGTTTATATATAGTCGACCATATTTTCATATTTTGGTAAAGAAAATTTATAAAGTTAATGCAGTTCTGAGGTAGCAGTCTAAACTTTTAAGCTTTTTAAATGTAAGACTTACTCCTTCTTTCCTTGTAGCACCCTAAAGACCTGTAAATATTTATATAGGCAAAGAATAAATAATGCTTATTTATTCTGCAACCTTTAAACACACAAAAGCTAGTAAAATATTGCAGAGGATTGGCCTATTGTATATTTTATAAATTTTACTTTTGCTCAGCAGTTTAAGCTGTGTATATCTATGGTGATGTGTAAACATGGAAGGAAGATGACTGCTTGATTATATGTTTTAAGCGCTTTTCTCATGTATGGCATTCTGGAGATGCTTAGTGATTTCAGAAGTGTTCTTCACTTTTGTCTGAAAGGAAAAAGGGGGGAGGAAAGGCGTGGCAGTGGCAGCTGTCAAGACATTTTACAACTTTTACTTTCAAGATAGGGTCTAGACTTCTTTTGGAAATATTATTATAATTTCTTAGTCTTTTCTATCAAGAAAAGGACTGATACAGCATTGAGACCTGGTCTGACATCAATGATATTAGGGAAAGCTTTTAACCCTGTTGACAGAGCCAGGCTTGGAAGGTTAAGTCATATGACTTGGGCAGGGAACAGCTGTTTTTAAAGATCATGAAATTATTTCATATAGTGCAATTTTTTTTTAGTTTGGCTTGATGAGTATTTTCTGTTCCAGACATTATCATTGGTGACATTATTTTTAGTGAAATGAACCAGAAGCAGATCTATTATTGGCTTTATTTTTACAAAATGAGCTTTACAGTATTTTTTTCTGACTTAAAAAAGTAATATATATCACTTTAGAACACTTCATACAAAGTAGGAAGTTATTGAGGAAAAAACTTATCTGTAGTCCGCAAACCTAGAAATAAACTATGGGTGTATTCTGGTGAATTTCCTGTTTCCCTTTCTGTCGTTTTCTATTCATTTTTGTTATCTTTTTTAAAAAAAGATAACCGTAAATGGACTCATACAGCTTATATACTTGTACATTCTGATTTTCCCCCATGTCTTCAGAAATCTTGTTATAGCTGCCTGTGTTCTACTTTTGTGGATGCACTATAATTTACTTAACTCTCATCCTGATGGATTTTAAGGATGTTTCCAATTTTTTTTGATACTATGAAAATAACTCATCTAAAGATATGAAGCCTGGAAATGGCAGAGATATTTTAAGGCTCTAGATACATACTGCCAAAATGTTTTCCTGAAACATTTGTATCAACTACTATTGCAGATGAGAATACCTGTATTTCACCTAGTTATAATTCTGATATTATGACTCTGAAATTTCTGCTAATTTGATGGGTGAAAAGCATCTTATTTTAATTTTAACTTTTGTGTTAATAAGGTGGAATATTTCTTTTTTATGTTTTTTATTCTGGTAGTATTTTAAGGAACGTTCTTATAAACCTAAAGAAATATTTTGGTGGGAATTTTTTATTTTGGCTCATCTTGAAACAGGTGGATGTGTGTTCGCGTGCATGGGAGAGGTATGTCTGTACTTGATTCACCCAGCCTGCACTCATATTTAAAGGTGTTGTTGATAGTAGTAGCCAAACACTTGTGGAGCTCTTGCTCTGCATGACAGGTTCTGTGCAAAGTACTCTGTATCTGAAATGACATTTATTTCTCCCATTTTGTAGATAAGAAACAGGCTCAGATAGACAAGGCAATTTGCCCACAATCACCCAGCCATTTCCTGGTAGTACTGGGATTTGAACTAGTACTGTTTACCACTGCACTGTACTGCTTCCCTGTTTTGAATTTGTTTTAAGAATTTTCTTTCCATGAAGGGTGAACCTGTATCTAAGCACATAATACTGAGAAGATAAAACCTATTAAAAGAATAGAATGTTGACCTTATTTATTTATTAATTTGGCAAATAGCTAGTGACAGGGTGTCTACAGATTGCTGGGCACCAAACTTCCTGCCTGAAATGTGGGCGTGATGCCCATATTGCCCTGGCTTTGTAGCACCCACATTTGTCATTGCAGCCAGGGAGACATGTATGTATGCACGTCCTGTGCCTCGTCACGTCTTCGAGATAGTCATGGATCCAAATCTTAACTTTTCTGTCAGTGCCTCCTGCTGACGGCCTGAGCATTCCACCAAATAGAAATAGCACCTCTATATTCCACCTGCTTAAATGTACATTTTTTTAGGATCCAGCATGGTAAAGCCCCTAAAGTATTCGTAATAACTCAGACCCATGGCTTTTATTTTATAGAGTTCTAGTTCACCTTAACTTTTCCTGGTTACCATTTATGGTCTGTACTTGGCCACAGGGGCTTTCTCTCAGTGGTTTTTCCAGTTCTGCATGTGAGTCTTTGTGGTCCAAGACAAAACCTGGACCTTTACTTTCAGTAAAGACAGCAGGTTATACTCTCACTTGCTCAGTCTGAGGAGAAAGAGTCTCTTTATACCAGAGCTGTATCTTTTTTTTTTTTTTTTTTTTTTTTTTTTTTTTTTTTTTTGAGACGGAGTTTCGCTCTTGTTACCCAGGCTGGAGTGCAATGGCGCGATCTCGGCTCACCGCAACCTCCGCCTCCTGGGTTCAGGCAATTCTCCTGCCTCAGACTCCTGAGTAGCTGGGATTACAGGCACGCGCCACCATGCCCAGCTAATTTTTTGTATTTTAGTAGAGACGGAGTTTCACCATGTTGACCAGGATGGTCTCGATCTCTTGACCTCGTGATCCACCCGCCTTGGCCTCCCAAAGTGCTGGGATTACAGGCTTGAGCCACCGCGCCTGGCCCCAGAGCTGTATCTTGAGTGGTATCTCAGTATGCCATTGGTCCTACTGAGGAAGTAGCCCAAAAAGACTCTTAAGTCCTCCAATCAGGACTTGGTGAGCCCTGGACCATGTTTCAAAGATAGAGGCCTCCTACAGGAAAATATTCCTAAATACCTTCACCATTAGCTTAGTTTTAACTTAGGAACTTTTAAGCAGAATCTCTATGCTTAGCAAACAGCTCAGAGATGACTAGAATGAAACACCAAGCCTTAACTGATAGTATTGCATGTCACACACTTTGTTTGTGTTCTGAAAACTACATCAACTCACAGTTAGCCACTCTACTGACAATTAAGTTCCTGGCTGATTTTCAGGATTCTACTTTCTCACTCTTTGATAACATTTTAAGTGCTGGCCACCTAGTCCTCTAGTTCCTGCAGGATTACGGTCTAACTGTATGTAAAGAACTGGAACTGGCTAAGATTTTGAAAGTCTTTGAGATAGGCCTATCTGTTCTTTCCTTGCCTTTGTAACTTTGTCATATACAGGCACAAAACTGCAAGACGATAGATATGACCCTGTCAGCTGAAACTCTACAAAGTAGTCTTCATGATGCATGGGAAAAACTATTATTGTATTGTTCCATCACCTTTAATTTTTTTTGTCAAAACCTTAACAACTCTGTTATTGTCAATAATAATGGCATTGGGAAATTAAAAATAACAAAGCTAGTATTTAGTATGTGGTGAATTAAATCATTAGAGACATCGAGGATGAAAGTGTGTTATCAAGAGTAGTCTGAACAACATTGTGTGTTCTTGCATAGCTTTAGATACAGCGCAAGCATCTCTTCTATGACTTGGTGAATTGTCATACCCCTTTCTAAGTTTGGACCAGTTTCTACCGTTTTATCCTGTGCACTCTCAATGTCATGAAAGAATTCCTTTAATGTTTTTCAATGTTTAAAGCTTATTTTATTGCCAGTCACCTCCTCTGGGACATTTTTATTCTTTTTGTTACATCTTCCTCACTTTCCTCATTTATGTCAGTAAGTCCGACTTCACTGAGTTCTTATAGCTTCGTCTCTAGAGTTTCTTGCATAGCCGTCGTGTCAACATTTCCATAATCAGCTATTTCTTCTCTTCCATGTGTGGTCTATTCAGATTCACACCCAGCATTTGTCAGTTTTTATTTCTTTACTCTTTCATCTTTCTTGCCTAGTTTCCTCTTTTGATTTATCCATTATACATTGTCACTTGGGTTTATCGCTGGGAAACAAGGAGGTAACAACAATCCATACTTTGCTGTCTGTGCATGACCTAAATATCAGATGTACAGTGACTAGTCACTAGCAGTCTTCAAAAGAAGTGACATGATTGATCTCTGATCATGATGAGGCCTCTGCTATTTACATAGTTGTTTGTGAACTGAAGAAATAGCAGTGAAGTTGTACTTTATGCAGTTAGTTAATATGTTGAGGTAATTGAAATTTGGACTGTTTGTGGGGCTTCATTTGATTAGACCAAGGTAACTGGAATTC